GCACAAGGACATTGATAGACTTCAGCAGTTCAAAAATCCCAGACAGTCTCATATTAAGATCATTACTCCACTTTCTATCTTTCCCATGGTTTCCTTAATAAATGCAAATATGCTCTATCACTACAACTTTCTCACTCTGTCTTTGCCAGAACTTTAGCCACCTGTCTCCATGTGTTTTGCTAAGGATCATTTCACATGTTGCCATCAACTCTCTCCACCTCATTGAAGGAGAAGGGGCTATATTCTCCCTGTTCTAAAATCCTAAGTCAGCTTTAATCAGCAGTTTGCTTTTTTAAAACCCCACATGTGGCCTATTCTTATACTTCCTGTGTTAAAGTTTATTTATTTTTTTCAACCATACTCTCTTATCCAGGAATGCTTATCTGTTTCTAACTCTTTTGTTTCTAACTTGTTTGTTTCTAACTCTATGACCCTCCCACTCCATGTGCACTTGGGTACCTTTCTGTAAAAGACATCCACAGCTTTCATCAGTTTGTTAGTGGGACCTGGGATCTTACAGCAGTCAAGAAACATTGCAGTCCACCAGTTGTTATGTCATTGCCCAAATGCCTGGGAAATTCCTAAGTATGCTGTTGTGGCCTTTGAAGTCCCTGCTAGTGTTTCCGGTTCATTTATTTTCAGAGATTATTACCTGTAGGGTTTTTAAAAACCCACCCCAGCAGATTGGTCGGAACTGTCTCGGGTGGGAGATTTCAATTATAAAGTAGTCACAGATCATTCTATTGCTCAGTCAGGGTTGAGGACCATTGATTCTTAGATTACTGCAAGCATCCCATTCTATTGTAATTCTTGTTTACATATTCAGCTCCCATACTTAGCCAGGGGAGATTGTAGTCATGGGTCATGTTATTCATCTTTAACTTGTCAGTGTATCTAGTGTCTGACACTGCCACATGTTCAATATGCACTTTTGGATACTCCTGTGTCCCCTTTTGCTAGGTTATGCCAAATGAAATTGTCAACATGCTGTGATTTTGACCCAAGCGGTTTCATATGGTTCAACCTCCGATTATTTGTACAGCTTTGTACTTCATTTTTATTTGCTTCAGCTTCTCTGATGAATTGTTTACATGCTCCTTCAGCAGCACAGTGACTTTACTGAGAAATGGTTTTGCATGACAATTAAGAACAGTAGCATGCCAGCTGTATGGCCTTAGATAAGTTACTTATTCTTTCTATGCCTTTGTTTCCTCATCTATAAAATGGGATCGTAATAGAGCATTCTTGTACAAATTAAATGAGTTTAATGCACGTAATTCATTTAAAGTGTAATGCAGCTTCTGGCAGTGGCTGAGTCGAAGCCAGACTCCTCTCACTTCTTTTGGCCCCTCATCATCTTTATGCTCACCTTCTTCACAGGTCATTTGTGCTTTCTTAAGAGTGAGTCTTTGGGTGCTGGGGTGGCTCAGTTGGTTAAGCATCCAATTCTTGATTTCGGCTCATGTCATGATCTCATGGTTCGTGACACTGAGCCCTGCATCAGGCACCATGCTGACAAAGCAAACCCTGGGTTTCTCTCTCCCTCTCTCTCTGCCCCTCCCCCTGCCTCAAAACAAATAAATAAATCAACTTTAAAAACAAGAGTATGTCTTTAACATACACAAAAATAAGAGGAAACGTGCTTCTCATTTCAAAGCATTACAATGTTTCTTGCCTAGCATTCACTGTGGAAAATGAGAGCAAGCATGTGCTGCTCAGTTACTGTCAACCAGACACTTTCCCTACCATCTCTGATTTAACATTTTCAGCATTTACATACAGTATTTCCCTGCTCAGTTGCAAATGCAGCTACAATAGTTAGGTTACAGGCTGAGCCTGCAGGGCACATTAGCATACAGGGTTCTTAAGTTCTCAGCACTGCAGAAACTATCATTTTGTATCTTGAGAAGATTTCTTTTAAACAAATAAAAAATAGTGACTATCGTGACCATCATTCTCCTTCCCTCATAGTGACTTTGTTACATGTAGTATATGTCCAAGTCTTAAAATAATATTTATGTTTTCATTCCTTTGGGCAGGAGAGCTTACATATACACAAATCAGATATCCTTCTTTTTTATACTTGCTTAACATAGCCTAGTAAGGTGTTACTCTGCTCCAATCTGTGGCTTATATCACATCCACTGCTGTTTGGGTTAGATTCAAACTGCAGCATTTTACTTTTTTTTTTTTTTTTTTACTAGCAAATAAATGCCTTGCCTTGCAATCAAGGAGTTCTATCATACGTGTAGCTCAACCTAACCCCCAGGTCTCCCCTACTCTTACTTCCTAACAAAGCCTAGTCTATATAAAAGCATATTTGATAAGCATACTGCTGCATCACGTTTCTATTCAAACATCGCTTCAAATTCTTACATGATATTTGACTCCTGCCCCCACCAAACCTTTAACCATTTCTTCTGGGTCTCTCTTTTCCTCCTCTCTTTGGTTGCTTTCAAAGCCATTGTCATAGCTTCAACCATCACCTCTACGCATTCTCATGTTCTCCCCTTTGGACCTGAAGTCTCTGCAGGGTCAGAGTATAATCTTTGTCATCCTGGGCCTGAAATTCCACTTGCCTGTTGATAGATGTTTCCACTAGATGGCCCTCCACTGACATCCCTCAAAGACAGCAGTTTAATACACTTAGATCTATTGTGTTCATACCTGCTCCTCTTGGCTCATTCTCTATCCCTGTTATTAGTGGCCTCATCCATCAAGACACCTAAGCTGGAAACATCAGGGTTGTCTTTGCTCCTCCTGTTGCTGTGCTATTAAACACTGTAATGTGTCCTTGCTTTTATCCTCACTGAATTAGTGTGAGGGCCCAACACATAGTCTCTTGCAAAGCACCTTCTCTCTTCCCTTGTGAAATGGATTCTCATGTCAGCTCTTCCTGTGACATACATTCTCATTCTTCTCTCTTGCTGTGCTCCTGAGGTTCTCTCTTGTCTTTTCTCTGTGCTTCTGTCCTTTCTTCTAAACCTCTTCTAGAGGAAAGCATACAGGCCAACACATCTAATTTTTTTTTTAAATTTTGCCCCAATATCCTAATTTTCTTTTCTTGGGCTGCTTTTCTAGAGGCAACATGTACAGTGGAAAGAATAAGAGTTTTGGAATCAGTCAGAATACAGATGTGCTCTGTCACTTATTAACTTGTGCTCTACTGGTTTACTAACCTCTCTGAAGCTCATCTCCCTTTTCTATAAAGTAGACCTAGATCACCTTCCTCACAGGGCTAATGTCAGAGCATAATAATATAAAGAATGGGATGGTCAGGCTCTGCACACTCAGCAGCTCTCAACTCTTTCGTACTAATTCTCATTAGCAGATGGGAGGACAGGAGACCTGTGCCCTGCTCTCTCCGTCTCTTTCATCTCTCTCCATCTTGTCATCTCTTTCATCTCGTATTTAATGAGCATCTCTGGCAGAAGCTTATTATTCTCACCTTCACCACCAGTGGTTGCTGCTACTTTAGCACAACTCATCTCAAACACCGCTGACTCATGGCTGAGAAAGGAAGGCATTTTTATTTCCATTTAAACATGAGGAAAACAAAACCCACAGAAGTTACATAAGTGACCCAAAGTATGTACTTAGAAGAGAGTTTTGGGAAACTGTCTCTGGGAGATGTGTCCATGGACAAATGTGCTTTGATATTAGCTCTGAGCCTGTGCTACCGTCCATTTACCAGACAGAACCAACTTTATCCATTTCAGGCTGATGGGGAGTACATTTTACTTTTCAAGTGATCTGGATGAAACACTGTCCAGTTTCTCCTTGGAAGTGCCAGGCCGGTGTTAAAATTCCCTTACTTTAACGCCTTTAAAAGGCAATTCTGCTTTGAATAAAGATGGAAGAAGAGATTACCCTCTTTGACCATTTAGAGTGATCATAAGCTTGAGAGTCAGGCAGAAATGAATTCAAATTTCACCTTTGTCTTTTGCCACTTACCAGCTCTGTAACCTTGAACAAGTTATTGAACATCTTTAAACCAAGTATTTCAATGAATACCACTTAGTAAGTTTACTGACATTAAATTAGGTCACATGTATAAAGAACTTTACAGAAAATGGCTGAGAGTCAGTGCTCAGTAAATGGCAGTGAGCGCATGTTAAGTCCACGTTCCTTCCAGGGAATAGGTTTCACATATATTTATAGACAGGGGAATTCATATCATGTAAAACATACGAAACAAACGTTATTGAAATGACATCCCAACAGTTGTGTGCAGTTACAACATATGATAATCGCTGAATAGTGATGACCACAGTGTTTCTCTTTTTATATTTCTTTCTGTTTTTGTTTCCAGGATGTGCTATTGTCCGAATTTTTTATCTGCCAAATAATTTTAAATGATTTGTAGAAAGTATACGTCATCTACTTTTCTCTCGCGCTTTGTCTCTCTCTCGTTGAATCTTAATTACAAGAAAAAGCCATTATTTTTGCAGGTGTCCTCTTTGTTTTCTCGATTTACATAAAATGATCTATTCCTCTTCCCTTCTTTTCCTCAAATGAGGAGGACAATGAAGATCTAAAATGCCAGCTGCAGTTCGTGAAGGAAGAAGCCGCTTTGATGAGAAAGAAGATGGCCAAGATTGATAAAGAAAAGGACAGATTCGAACACGAGCTTCAGAAGTACAGATCCTTTTATGGGGATCTGGACAGTCCTCTGCCCAAAGGAGAAGCGGGGGGCCCTCCCAGCACCAGGGAGGCTGAACTCAAGCTGCGGCTGCGACTGGTGGAGGAAGAAGCCAACATCCTGGGCAGGAAAATCGTCGAACTGGAGGTGGAGAACAGAGGCCTGAAGGCCGAACTGGACGACCTGAGGGGGGACGACTTCAACGGCTCGGCCAACCCCCTCATGAGGGAGCAGAGCGAATCCCTGTCGGAGCTGCGGCAGCACCTGCAGCTGGTGGAAGACGAGACGGAGCTGCTGCGGCGGAACGTGGCCGACCTGGAGGAGCAGAACAAGCGCATCACGGCGGAGCTCAACAAGTACAAGTACAAGTCCGGCGGCCACGAGAGCGCGCGGCACCACGACAGCGCCAAGACCGAGGCTCTGCAGGAGGAGCTGAAGGCGGCACGCCTGCAGATCAACGAGCTCAGCGGCAAGGTCATGCAGCTGCAGTACGAGAACCGCGTGCTTATGTCCAACATGCAGCGCTACGACCTGGCCTCGCACCTGGGCATCCGCGGCAGCCCCCGCGACAGCGACGCCGAGAGCGACGCGGGCAAGAAGGAGAGCGACGACGACTCGCGGCCGCCGCACCGCAAGCGCGAAGGGCCCATCGGCGGCGAGAGCGACTCGGAGGAGGTGCGCAACATCCGCTGCCTGACGCCCACCCGCTCCTTCTACCCGGCGCCCGGGCCCTGGCCCAAGAGCTTCTCCGACCGGCAGCAGATGAAGGACATCCGCTCGGAGGCCGAGCGCCTGGGCAAGACCATCGACCGGCTCATCGCCGACACCAGCACCATCATCACCGAGGCCCGCATCTACGTGGCCAACGGGGACCTGTTCGGACTGATGGATGAGGAGGACGACGGCAGCCGCATCCGCGAGCACGAGCTGCTCTACCGCATCAACGCGCAGATGAAAGCCTTCCGCAAGGAGCTGCAGACCTTCATCGACCGCCTGGAGGTGCCCAAGTCTGCGGAAGACCGCGGCGCCGAGGAGCCCATATCCGTGAGTCAGGTACAGTTCTGCCTATTGCGAGCCACGGCGATGGCGAGGCAGGTCCGCGGATTCGTGGTCCCTGGCGGGGCGTCTCCGCGCACCGACCTCCACGCCCCGCTTTAGGGACCCCTCCCCCCTTCCCCCCGCTCAGAGCCTCACTGGGCTTGGTGGCCCCACAGCACACTGTTTTCTCACACTGTCCTTCTTCAGGCCTCAGGTCTCCATAACCCAGTCACTTAGTAACGACCTCCCCGCTGTTGTGTTTAAAAAGGAAATGTGCACACACCCCCTCAGTTTTTGTGTCAAGATTAAAGGATGTTGAAGATACATCATTATTTGTCAGCATGTTCGGTACTACTCTACTGATTCTAACTGATCAAGCTGCAAGAAGATCCCAAATGGGAATCTTCAGTTGTAGATTTGCAGGTTCAAGATTAAACCCAAGATTCAAGTTGGGTTTAAAGTAATTTTTTTTTCATTAATAAATATCCAGGAGTATTGTATAGCTACTGACAGATGTACAAACCCGCAGTAAAGAGAGGTGATATTGTGTCTAGAGCCCCACCAAGAGGAAAAACTGGAAGCCTCTCCTTTGCCACGAATGGTGGTAACATGATCATTATTTCTAGAAACACATCACTGCCAGCTCTCTAGCTGAGAATCTCAGGACTGGGGAAGGAGTGTTTTACCTTAGCTTTAACGCAACGCTAATTCAAAGAAATAGTAATAACTATTCCCGAACAGGGAAAACCAGCATTTTTCCTTCATCCTAATTTGTAGAGGCACAACTGATGAATTGGACTGAGCTGCTCTAGCCAGGTATGGTGGCCAAAGACCCATGCATTTTGTCAGAATTAACCACATAAAAGAGAATTTGTAAAACATAGGCACTGCTACCTCTCTGGCAAGCCTCCTGTCCAGTATCCATTGGAGAAGCCACGGAAGTACAAGAGCATGCATGGCTTTTAAGACACGCAAGAAATTTACACTCAAAAATCAGTCTCTACACAGAAGCATGACATTAAATTAACTGCCTGTTGGTCACAACTAGGAAAATTGCAACCCTATTGCTTATTTACCTTGCATGTTGCTCTGCTTTGCTATGAAAAAAAAAGTTTTATGATACAACTTGTTGGATTTTGAAATGTTAAAGCTTATTTTTTTCTCTAATTATTTCAAATAGTTGGTTTTTAGTTTCCTTGTAGCAGATTTTTGAACACGTTGAGCATGTGGGTTTTCAATTATACCTTCAGGGGGAAAAAATAGAGATCAGAGTGGGAGAAAGCACTGTGTATAATAATAAGAGGTTTCAGATTTTGTAAGTCTAGGCTTAAGGGAGGGCTCTTCATCTTAAATTGGATGAATGCTTAGATTAGTTAATATAAATTTAAGTTTTAAAAATTATTAATTAACTCTTCTCTTTGTCTCTGCATTTACCTTCCCAGATGTTCCAGCCTATCATTTTACTTATTCTCATTCTTGTATTATTTTCATCACTTTCTTACACAACAATATTTAAACTTGTCTTCCTTTTTACACTGTTTTTTGTACTGTAAATCTTTCATCATTTACCATTCATTGTAGTATTTTCAGTTTGTTTATTTTGTTCACCCTTCAAGACAAGAAGTAAAAGAAGTATAATTTCTGTAGTAATCAATGCTATAAAAACACTGAAGACTGCTTATTTCTTTAAAAAGACACCTCTTACCACTACCAAATTCAATAAGAAGCCCAAGCATTAAAGTATTTCAGGTAAGGACGTAATTGTGACTTTTTTTATATAAGTCATTGTAATATTTTTCTTTTGCATGTTAAGCTGTACTCTTCTTGATAAATAATCGTAAGAATGGTTGTAAAAATTGACTAAGTCTGTCAGTTATTTCTCAGTAGTTGACTATTATGATAACTGAAAACCTAGACATTCACGAGTTGGTGTCACATTTCAAAATATAGACAGATTTATAAAGTAACTTTGCTAGATTCTATCAGACTAACTAGTTTTGATATCTAGTAAATGGCAATGAAAACTATGGTGAACAAATGAAATGTGACCATCACAGAAACTCAATAATTTATTGCAATGCTGGTGGTATTCTGTCTAAAAAGATGTGTTCAGAAGCATGAGAGCGAATTAGGCCTTAGTTCATTGAGAAAATGGTTATAGCCCTCCTACTGCATTTAACCAGTTCCAGTCAAAACAGCCATTTCTGCCTTTGCCTATTATACTTGGACATTCATTGCTGATTAGATGTGTTGTCTGGAGTTCTGTCCTCTATAATAAATATATTACCACACAGAACTGCCTCCATAGCAGACAGTTGAGTGAGGAAAATATGGTCATTCTCTAGAATTTCATGAAATCGCAATCCAAGGCCAGTAGCAGAGTTCCAGCGGGAGTGGATCTCTAGTATAAACTCAGGTGAAACTGAACATCCCCCTTTCTCCTCATCCTTAAAATGGCCCAGATAGGTTCCATATATCTGAAATGTCCTATTCTGTCCATCTTATTGACTATTTACCCAATAGAAAGCTGGAATGCACCACTGCCACCAAGATTCAGAAATACCAACATTCGTGGAAGTTATGTACTCAGAAATGTTTGCAGGTTGGTTGGTGAATACGAAAATCTGTGGTAAAGTGAGGTATCTTGCACTTCAGCATCAAGAATAACATTGGAAAATTTTTGCTCTACTACGAAAATTGGTTCTAGTAACAATCTCCTGAATCCTCATCCCCCAGTACCTCCATTTCCCTTTGAGTATTAATTAAAAAGAAGAAGAAGAGGAAGAAGAAGGGAAAAAACTTCACAATAGTTGACAATTCAGTTTAAAATAACTGCTCTTATTCAGTCATCAGTTGATGAACACTTGGGTTCTTTCCATAGTTTGGCTATTATTTATAATGTTGCTTTTGAACTTTGGGGTGCAAGTGTCCACTGACTGATAAATGAGTAAAGAAGATGGAATGGAATATTAGCCATCAAAAAGATGAAATCTTGCCATTTGCAATGACACGGATGGAACTAGAGTGTATTATGCTAAGTGAAATAAGTCTGTCAGAGAAAGGCAAATACCAAATGATTTCACTCATCTGTGGAATTTAAGAAACAGAATAGACGAGCATATGGGGGGTGGGGGAAGAAAGAGGGAAATAAACCATAAGAGACTCTTACAGATAGAAAACAAACTGAGAGTTGAGGAAGGGAAGTGAGTGGGGGATGGTCTAGATAGGTGATAGGTATTCAGGAGGACACTTGTGATGATGAGCACTGGGTGTTGTATGAAAGTGATGAACCACTGAATTCTACTCCCCAAACCAATATTGCCCTGCATGTTAACTCACTAGGGTTTAAATAAAAGTTTGAAAAGAAAAAATAAGAAAAAAAGGGAAAAAAGAAAAAATAAGTGAAAACCACACCCTTTTAAAAATACATGGATATATATATATATTTAAACTTACAAGGGAAATCTCAATATGTATAAATTACTAATAATTAAAATAAATAGTAAGTTGAAGAAAGGGACCTCCTCTAGAGAGCTTTCTAACAGTGAAGGTAATCCATTTACATGAAATAGCTTTGCCAGATCTGGTCAGAGCCTGCTCCTAATCCTTTATCTACATGATGCTGAAAGAGAACATAAATACATCTTACTTTAACAATCAAATAACTAGATGATGATAATAAATAATAGCTAACATTTATTGAGAACTGAAAATTGTATGTTAAATTTCATTTAATTCTATAAAGCACAGAATTGTACTAAAAATAACTGCTCTTAATCTCCATGTTTTTAAATTTCTTTTTGGTTTTTATTTTGTTTTATTCTGGAAGGAAGAGAGATCTGGAGTGAGGAGTAGTTAGTCAACAGAATCTGTCACTATGTACTTCTGACTTTTCATCTTAGAGATTCAAAAGGCTAGGTAGATGGGACGCCTGGTGGCTCAGTCAGTTAAGCGCCTGACTTTGGCTCAGGTCATGATCTCATGGTTCATGAGTTTGAGCCCCGCATCAGGCTCTGTGCTGAAAGCTGGGAGCCTGGAGCCTGCTTCAGATTCTGTGTCTCCCTCTCTCTCTCTGTGCCTCCCCCACTCACTCTCTGTCTTGTCTCTGTCTCTCAAAAATAAACATTAAACAAAACAAATTTCAAAAGGCTAGGTAGAACGTCACGAGCCACTTGGGTGGCTCAGTTAAGCATCTGACTCTTGATCTTAACTCAGATCTCACAGCCACGAGATCAAGCTCTGTGTATGGCTCTTTACTGACAGCACAGAGTCTGCTTGGAGTTCTTTTTTTTTTTCTCTCTCTCTCTCTCTCTGCGCCTCTCCTGCTCATATGCACTCTCTCTCAAAATAAATGGATAAACTTAAAAAAAAAAAAAGAACTTAATGACAAGAAGAAATGAAATAAGGTAAATGCTATATTTAATCAATCATTCAATCACTGATTCGATCAAATCATTCAAGTTTACTTTACAAAAAAATCTCAGTGGAAACAACCACTTTAAATATCAAAGTCTGTGTGTTAGATCCGTGATAAGCCTCAAGTCTGCCATCTCAGCGAGACCATTTTGTCAACAGAACTGAAAGTAAATATTTAATGGCTGAAATGTATCTGAAATGTTTATTGCCTTTGAAGCCAGATACATCCACCAAAGCAATGATTCTCAGGTACTTATGGAACATTTGGTGGTTAATGGAGGTGTTATAAGTTGTGACAATGATGGAGAAGCTCCATTGGCAGTAAGAGGAAACGAGTCATAATCTCAAATAATTGTCCCACCCAAATTGTTAATATTGTCCCTCTGATGAAGCATGATATGCAGTGCACATGTTCACTTCAGAAGTATCATGGATATGAACTACACTGTGTGGCTTTAAGAAACAGGCTTGAGAATTTTAACTTTCTTTATTGTGAGAAGAAGGATCAAGAACTAAGTATCTAGATCAGTGGTTTTCAATCCTATCTGCACATCAGCATTCCTGGTATGTTTCTAAAATTGAGGCCCTACCTCACTAACTGAAACTGAATTTTTGAGTCCAGGTATTTGTATTTTCTTAAACCCTGAAGAATCATTTCTTGAGATGTTTGAGTTATCTAAAATATGTACACACAGCCTAAACCAAAGCTAGGGTAAGCTATGTGATACCCACTATATACAATCAAAAGTTGTCTAGGTTTGAGTAGACCTTAAAGTTTCATTATTTGCCCTTGCCACTATGACAAAGTGGTTCTAATTCCACAGTGGTGCAGTGTTAGAAAACTCTTAATACAGGTTCTCAAAATCAACATACATAATCAGAGTAGACAAATAGGAATAATATATGACAGAAAGGAAAATGAACATGGGCAGTGTGTATGTGCAGGGTCATGCACACACCTGGCGATATAGGCACATGCATGTGCTCCATTAAAGCCTCAAGATGACCCCACACATACACCCTGACAATCTACCATTTTGTGGATTTTTATACAGTTATCTCTGCCACAAAGCTTCCCATGTGGTGCACTACAAACGCTCCGGGAATGATGAGTGCCAACTGACTCTACCATCCGAACCAAGATGAGAAAGCATACACAAGAGATGTGATAATGCAGCAGATTACATAGATCCTTTGTCTGTTTAACAAACATTGTAAAGTGATGGCTGTTAGGTACAAAGTAAAATTTGGTTTTTACTCTTTTAGCACTTTTTATTGGTTGCCTGACCAGGACAGATATGTAAACAGCTAATTGTTTAAGTGTAAAACCAGTGTAAAAACAAAAAGGCTCGTGGTTGCAATTTATTTTGGACACTTGACAGCATGTTAGATTTCCCCAAGAAAACAATAAAATCCTGAGGCTTTCTTGGATGGAATGATACTGTAAATAAACAAATACAGGGGTGCTACATATACCTCAACATGTCTTGTGGCCTGAATAAGAAAGGAGAGGCTAACCAAGACAGGTCTGGGCTGATCAAAACACCAGCCTCATCCTTAGATCTGAAGATAATTCAAACAAGTAAACCTTGTTGTAGAAAATTCCCTTGCATGCACATTCTTGGGCGTAGGAAGGAGTGTCTTTGGTAATTTGGCCTGGATTTAAGAAAAAAATTTAGTTGGCTATTTTTAAGCAGAACTACTCAAACTCATAAAACAAAGGAAAATTCAGTGCTGAGCCTGGAATGTGTATTGGCCTGCATTCTCCAACTTTCACTTCAATTCGTGTGGTAGAGTGGGATATGGTTATTTAATCGGCTGCCAGGGAATGTCAGCTTGGTAACTAAGTCTGAACTCCATATTGGTGCAGCATTCGCAGCTGTCTTCCAGTAGAACTACAGCCTGCTTCCATCTCGGAGTCATGCTTCAGGTCAGATGCACTCATTGAATGCAAGGACTGAGGAGAACGTAGTGGAGGATGATAATCACAAAGTGAGAAAAGTTGGCTGCTCGTTAAACTGCTGGAATTTGGTACAACTCAAAAATAGTATTCACGAAGACACTACTGCTTAAACTCTAGTTATAAACCAATCAGGTCTAATGAGAGATCATTTTGATTCTCTGTAGTTTTGAACTA